ATGTTTACTTATAAATGGACTCGGTGTGATCAATATTTATTTATAAATGGATACGGTGTGGTCAATGTAATATAATTGCATATATTGTGTTTTGGATAGAGCTCTCAGTACAAAAGAGATTCTGCCCGAATTTTGTTAAATTAAGAACCCCCGATTTTTGGGGCGTCATAGAACCATGGTCCACATGATGGAATATCTCATTTCAATTATTCAATGCATCAGAAGAATCACTTAAGTTTTTTTACACGCGAGATATATTGCTAAATATGCAAAATGAGTTTCAGTGCTAAATAAAAAATGAACATATTACCATGAAAATTAAACACATAGAAGGTATATAATTTAGAATAAATAAATCTCAAGATGTCATTTTCATAGTGATCTTTCATAATTGATCACGCTTGTTCATAAATAAAAAACACTAAACAAATCAAGAATAAAATTTTCAAGATGTTAGTGCAAGCCTAGTTTCAAGCAAAACATACATCATATGAAAAGAGCAATAACTTGCTCCCAGATAAAAAACATGAGTATGAGATAATGAGAGAGGAATATAATAGTATTACAATTAATTTATGATTGAAATTCATGGGATTGAAAATTTGACTATTAGCTGTCCACATAGCCCATAAAATGGAAGATGAAATAATTCAAATTCTATTTGATTAATTAATATATTTATTGCTCGAAATTTATACCGTATGCAAAGGTACACATCAGTTCATATTAGATAAATGATAAAATGAACTTTATGATGATTGTCGATGGCATAATAATTGTATTACTGATAATCTACTAGTTTTCATAAAGTAAAGATGATTAACGGATTTATTGTAAACAAAAAAGTTTATGAGAAGTAAATGAAAGAGAGATAGTGTCATTAACTCAAGAAATAAATAAATAAAAAGTATAATACATAAAACAATAATTATTGTGAAAATGGAAGTATATGGAGAGTCATTTGAATATATAATTATTATTAGGTAATTAGAAAATAAAAAAAAAGTGCAATACATAGAACAATAATCCTTGTGGAAATGAAAGTATATGAAGAGTCATTTGAATATATAATTAATATTAGGCAATCAAAAATTTTTCACTTAACTTTCTTTTAGTAGTGTATACACACACACACACATTTTTATAGTTTATAAAGTAGAAACTCAATTTTTTTTTATATTTAAGCCAAATTAAGGAATAATAATCTTTAAGACAAGATCATTTAAGAAAACAATTAAAATTAAGATTAAAATGGAATTAAAGGTTAAAATTAATTATTAATGCTCAAATAAGTATAATTGAATGCTAAATTTATGCACATAATTAATTTAAGAAGATGAAAGGATATAATTATAATTAATTAAATAAAATAAAAAGAAATGAGAAGATATGATTGAGTTTACAATAATAATTAAGGACAAAATTGTCAAACAAATTTGTTTTTATTTTTGTTGACATTTTAAAGTAGTACAGATTGACGATTATTCCAAAAGTATTTTGACCCAATGAGTATACCATGGACCGACTTTTTCTATTGGGCTGGACCAGGAATCCTCACAAGTTTCCAACTCTTATCCCGTGTTGTAGGATGGAAAATATGATAGAAAATGAGAGGGAAGAAAAGACTTTCCCTTGTTTGGTATGAAAAAAAAAAGGTGAAATGGAAAAATGGATGGAAAGGTGTTCTACTCCGCCCATCAAAGAAAAAAAGCTGTCCACTTTTGGGAGAAAATATTCAATATAACGGTGATACTATGTCAGCACTGACGACATAATATTACCAATCAATAATAAAACATCAAATGGATAAAATGAATCTTACTTGGATAGTTATTGACTTACATAAAATAAGAGTTGATAATTATTGACTTACATGGACAGTAATTATTAGCTTACATAAATCCGTTTTCCTATTTGTTTACATATTGTTAATTGGTGACACCATCTCACCAATATTGATTAAGCATCATCATTGCATGGAATATTTTTTCCACTTTTGGGCACAAAGTAGAGAGAGAAATGGAGAACTTGAGTAGTGTTAGATCAATTTACTAATATGCCCTTTAAACCTTGCATATCCATCCATGACTTTCACAGTATGGTTGACACTTTGGGAAAAAATATCCATGTGTAGACAATATGGTAACTACAACATAATTTAAATCAATCCATGTGAGTCTGTTAGTGTCCTTGGTGATGATTTATCACACTGCTGCTGCCATTGATACCCCATACCCACCACTATTAATGTCTCTTATAAATCACTTTCTATGAAATACTTGTTTAAAAGATACTTTTTAATTTTTTTAAAAAAAATCAGAGGCCTCACCTAAACAAGTTTGCCACTACAAAGACGGGGTAAATTATGTGATGATTGTACTATAGAGCTCTTAAATAAGTACAGGCAATAATAAGGATTTCTAGCGTAACTATAGTTATCATTTAGTATCCACAGTCATCTATAGGGATTAACATATAAATAATTAAGTTATACATTTCTCAATAATTTAAGTTTTTAGATTAGATGATTGTTTAACATGATTTTAGAGGTGGAAGTTTTGTGCTCGAATCTCGTAGTTATCCTAATTATTAAAAGAATTTTCATTTTCATGTGTTAGATCTAAAATTTAGCCTGCACATAAGAGGACGTGTTGAAATATAAATACAAGGTGTGTTGAAGTATAAATATTCCCATTTTGATAATTTAAACTTTTGAAATAGATGATTGTTTAACAACATGTAGGTTACATACTGTGATCCAATTGGTTGGCACAACTTAGGCAGACATAAAGTAGAGTGCAGTATAGCTTGAGCATGGAACTCTTGATGGCTCATAATTTCCAATTAAGGATGTCTTTTTGTATACTTGTACAAGAACGTATTAGAGCTCATGGCCTATAGATGCACATGAGGGTGCAAAAAGGAATTGAAAAAGGGAAAGAAAACATATATAAAGAGAGACTACATAATATAATGAATGGAACAGACCACTTTAAGCTTAGATTAAGTGTTTGGGTCCGATTTATGTCTAATTGTCTATAAGCCTAAAAATCTTACAGTTGTATGAGAGTGAACCCAAGGGCCTGTTTCCTAGAGGAAAAAAAAGGGAAAAAATGCTAGCAAGTGCCATTGGGGGCCAATGTGAGGATGCAAAAAGGAATTCCATATGCAATAGGCAAGATATAAAATATAAGACCTATGTATAATGAGTGGAAGGAGCTACACATAATCCTAGGTTTCCCAAGTTTTTGGTTTCCTAAGTCTGTATTCTACCACTTGGTGGTTTTCTGTGTTTAACTATGGGAGTTCTTATTTCCCAAGACACCAGATTACAAGTTGTTACACACCTTTGGATGTACCTGTTACCCATCCGTATGCTAATCACAAACTTGATTTACGAGCTATTCAGTGTCTTTTCTTGAGCTATAAGTTCTTGACATAGACGGTATCGTTGCTTTGCTTTGATCTCAACTGGTCATCTTATCATGCGAGAAGTCTACAATACTTGAGTATAAGGATCAAAACAAACCGCCTGGATTGAGGCTTAAACTTTTGGGTTCGACTTGATGGTTCTTGCCGACAGTCACGTTTTTCTTTCCCAATAATTCATGAATGGCTAAAAATGGTTGAACCACCATAAAAGAGGATGGAGTTTGTCGACAGTCACATTTGCCGACGTACTATTATGTAATGATGATAATTTTTAGTGATTTTTTAACAATAACAAATAATATTAACAGTTTTTTATTTTTAAAAAGTCACTTATTGTCTAACTATAATATATCTACAAAGTGAACTTAATTAATTAACGGAATAAAACTAACATTTAACTAAATTGTTTGCTTATAAGTATTTATTGCTAAGATTATAATATAATCAACTCATTTATATTGTTTATACATGGAATAGTGAATAATAATTAGAAAACATTCATGTACCTTCAAAGTCATATGGATTGTTGTTGATGTATTACATTGTATGTAAAATCAAAAAGAATGAGTAAAGATTAAAACTAAAAATTATTCCACTAATTTAGAAAACCACCAATAAACTGAAACATATCCAAAAAATAAAGAACTGTCAAATCAAAAATTCTAAAATAAAATAAGGGAAATTACGTAAAAGATAAATAATAAAAATAGTAAATGTATACTTGGTTACAAAACATTTATGATAATTACAACTGAGTGAATTAAAAGTCCAAGAGTTAGAAGATTTTTTCCCTTCTTATGATTATTATTTTATCAATTAAACAGAAATAGGATGAAATTGGAAATACTTTTTCTCCTATTTCATTATTATTAGTACAAAGGCAGGATTAGACACTATTAACACAAAAAAAAAATTCATTATTTCACAAACAAGGATTAAGGATTTTTATTCAAGCACCGAATCGACAAGAAGTGAAGTAACATAGGCTTTAAAGTTTTTTTTTTGGGAAAAGACCAAAACTAAGCACCATGGAGAAGACAACAACAACTTGCAGTCATTCCATCAAAAGCAGGCAAAGAAAGTCTGGGAGGGCTGCATTTTGCACTCCCCACAGACTACACAACCTGTAAACAGCGTACAAAAAATACATCTTGTACAAAAACAAGAGCTTGGAAGTTGCTAAGGAGAAGTAGTCAGTCTATGAAGAGGAGTGTCGTTGATTTTGACTGAGAGGAGCCTATTTCTCTCCATATTCATGACAGTTAACTGGGTAATACTGAATCTTTATACTCATTGGTTAAAATTCTATGATTTCTTTCACCCCATAGACATAAACAGTGACAACAAGGCAAAGTTTCCTAATGAAATTCTGCAGATTCTTGCCTTTCCATTGGGTGGACATAGCCTCAGTGAGACTTTGCCAAGAAGAAGAACGCCATCGCCAATCACACTTATTGATGACATTCCTCTAAACACTCTCTGAGTAAGAGCATTCAAAGAAAAGATGAAAGTGAGATTTTTGATCAGCTCTACAAAACACACAGGTAGTTCCACTATTGGGTGTAAAACTATGGATTCTGTCCATGTTTGTCCTTGTAGAGAAGATCTAAGACCCGCGCAAGATTGAGGACTTGTGTAAGTAAAGGCATTGGAACAATGGTTGGATGGAGGCATTCTTGGTTTATATCCTCCCATGAATTTGTAACTTGTTTGTCAAACTCAGCATATGCCTCTTGTTTTGAGGCTCCGTGTGGTTTCATGTAACACTCCTGTTTTGAGGCTCCATGTTGTTTCATGTTACACTCCAGAGCTGATGCTACATCTCCTCTCTCTTGCCCATGCTACAAGCATCGAAGAAACCTAAAATTTAGTGAGACGAAAATCCAGAAAAAGACAAAATAATTCATAACGAGATGAATTGTTGTATGGTTGCAACCCAAATCTCAGTTACACACTTCGATTAATCTCTAGTTTTATATGGTGAGGACGTGCATGGTTTTAAAACAAGATATTTCTACTTCTCTTTCTTACCTCATGTCCTACCATGTCGTCCATGAGTCTACCAATTACAGCTGAAGCTCTAACAATCAAAGGTTCACTAGAAACCCAATCAAAGGCCTCCTTGGTACCAATTTTCCCGTGCCAACAAAGGAAGTGGTGGAAAGCATCATGTAACCACTGGAAACTAGAGTGACTTTCATTTACTCCTTCATTGTTGGAGTATAGCCCTCATTAAACCACTTGGCCTCTTGAAAGCTTACTCTGATTAATTTTTTCATCTGAAACATGGAAAAAAAGAAAAAATATATTCCTACTTTATCCATCCGTCTAAAGATAGTTTTTTGCCTCATAAACTAAGTAATAACTGGAAAGTATAAGAGTTCTTACTACTATTTACCTTAGTTGACGCAGCATGTTTTGCCTTCTTTGACCACCTGAAAACATATATAGTATATGTATTGGGTAAATTTATGAAACCGAATAAGTATTTTCTTGTGTCATATCCAAAGTTGATGCTTCTTAAAACTAGAATACAAGTCCCTAAATTGACCTATTTAATGCATAACTCGACCCTAAATAGATTATAACTCTAATTTACCTGCACATTTAGATACAATTCCTTAGTGATACCCAAGTTTATTTCATATAATTAACACCTCTAAGATAGAAAACAGTGGGTGACTATGGCATAGACAGATAAGACAGACCAAGAGAAGAACATCTTTTTAGAGAGAGAGAGAGAGAGATGATGTATCTATCATGCAGACACCAAAGAACAAATCCTGGACCAATCCAACCTCGTACTTTTGTCCACATAGTAAACTTTTGTCGCTTGAGAACCTTTATGGCTTTGGCCAGAAGATAAATCTTGGCATTAAATTTTAACAAGTTTGTGGCTTAAAGTAAAGGGGCTGGGCTGTACGTGAATGGCTTAATCATGCATTGTTCGGATCAGATTTGCTAAGATTTGATTCTTTATCCATTTTCTCACCGAATAGCATTCAAGCATCCGAAAATCATTTCAGAGTGTTATCAGAGCTTGAAGTCTTCAAGTAGAGTTAAGTGATATTTCAGTATTAATTTGATTATTATCAGATTTATAAGAGATATCAAAGTGATCCTCTTTTGTTGGAGCTAATACTTGTTAAGTTTGACATATTGTTGTGTACTCTTGTTTTACTCCATAGTGAAAACATCTAAACATTATTGTCGTGGACGTAGGCAATAGCCGAACCATGTAAATTGATTTGTCTTGTGTGATTGTTCTTTTATTTTTCTACTTAAGTGTGAGTATCAATATCAATCCAAATTCAATTCCTAGGATATTTTCGACAATAAATTTGTATCAGAGCTGGTATTGGTTTTGAGTACTATTCACGGTTATTATTCATTGGTTGCTATTTAGATAGTACTATTTTAAGTCATAGTAATCGTATGCACCAGTTTCTTGGACCTCACCAGATTAAGTTTTAAAGTCATGACTATAAATTTTTCAAAGATCTCGAATGCTAAGTTCGAGGTGGAGAAATTTGATGGAAGAAACAATGTTGAGCTTCGGCAAATTCAAGTTAAAGATATCCTAATCCAACAGGGACTACATAAAGTATTAGAGGGTAATCCTAAATATACAGAGGCCCACTCGCAAAGCAATAGAGATATTTGTTACAATTGATGAAATTCTGTATGGTTGCACATCAGAAAGAGGAAGGCCATCTGATAGGGATAATGTCTTGGCAGGGGAGGGTGAACTTGAGAGGGATAATGTATATGATTTGAGATCAGAGGATAATGACTATGGGGATGACAGAGTCCAAATCCATCTAATTTTTTATCAGAGGAAATGACCCCCCTGCACTTGGAGATCCTTTTGATCCTCCACCTTTGAGAAGGCTACCAGGAAGACTAAAGAAAAATAGGAGGGAAGCTGAGACAAATACTAGGACTAGTATTGCTAGAAAAAACTTGATTGTTAAATGTGCCATATGCAAAGGGTATGGGCACAATAAGAGGACATGCCAAAGGGCACCTGTGAGGGACAGAGGGAGCACATGCAATGAGACAGAACTGGTACAATATTCTTGCTATTTGGATAAACAGTTAATAATTTCTGTTACATGAGTTGCTTCTCATACTATTAATTTTGATAAGGGAAGTGGTACTTTAGAACAACCAGCACAAACATCACAGGCAACCCAAGCACCACTTAACAGTGAAGCAAGACAAACAAGTGTTGTAACTACTAGCCCAGTCAGCACAGGCAACACAGTTGCATCAAATGTAAGGAAAGGTAGAGGGAGATGCAAAGGCAGAAATGAAGTGGAACCTGCATAGGATTGAAGCTGTAGAAAGAAACTAACCACAAGACATAAAGTTTTTGTATATAGGGATTACTGGGATGCTGCTGCTTTTGTTTTTGTTGCACCAGCATCCAAGAATGCACATAAGACAGTTTTGGGAGGTTTTTGTTAACTGGTATTCGGGCAGTATGTTGCTACTGTTGTTTTTTTTTTTTGTTGCAGCAATGTATTATGTATGTTGTTGATGCTTTTTGCTACAGCAGCGAGAATGCACATAGGGTTCTTGCATTTTTTTTTGTCTTAACAAATGTACTGGAACCTTATTATGGTATGGGAATGAAGAATGGTAGAACAGTATGTTATAATACTATGGTATGTCAAGTAGAACAGTTGTAGAAATCATGCTAATTCTTCCATTCTATTGGACCAAACATTACAAGATCACACAAAGTTTAGAACACATTGTTCGACCAAAAATTAGCAAACCCAATCCAGCAACCATTCATACATAAACAAATACATTAACATAACATTAGCAAGGCATCAACAACCAATTGCTTACTCTTGCTCATTGAAACAATTATAACAAATATAAGACCCGGCTCGTAGCAAAAGGGTATACCCAAATGGAGGGTATAGATTATGAAGAGACATTCTCCCATGTGGTGAGATTTGCCGCTATTTGTGTGATTCTAGTCATAGTAACTCATTTGGATTTAGAGCTTTATCAGATGGATGTCAAAAATGCATTCATCAATGGAGGACTAAATGAAGAGATTTATACAGATCAACCTCTCGGATTTATAGCTGAGGGGCAGGTATCCCTAAACGATCCATTTATGGTCTCAAACAATCATCTAGACAATTGCACCTCTAGTTTAAAGCAACAATTATGACATTTGGCTTATCTATGATAGAGGAAGACCATTGTGTGTATGTCAAACATACAGGGAAGGGAATTTAGATCCTATCTCTATATGCAGATTACATTTTATTCGTTCGAAACGAAATAGAGATGATCATGCCACCAACGAATGGCTATCCTTTGATTTTGAGATGAAGGATATAGGTGAGGCAAATTATGTACTCAGAGTTAAGATCTTTAAGGGATCGTTCTAAAAGATTTCTTGGTTTGTCACAAGAAACCTATACCAAGAAAATTTTAGAACAGTTTTGTATGCACTATTCAAAACCCGTTGATGCCCCAGTTGAGATGGGCCGAAATTTAAGCCTTGAGCATTATCCTAGATCAGATAAGGAGAAGGAAATCATGAAGAGGGTCCTTATGTGAGTGCAATAGGGAGTTTAATGTATGTTATGTTGTGTACTCATCATGATATTTTTTATGTTGTTGGCTTGGTAATCTGTCACCAAAGCAACCCAGGACCAGTTCATTGGCAGGCTATTAAGAGATTTTTTTGTTACCTTTGTGGTACCATAGATCTCGTCCTATTCTATCATGGTGGGGACTTTAAATTGAGAGGATTTTGCGATGTTGATTTGGGTGGCAATAGAGATGAACACAAATCACCTTGGGTAATGTGTTCACCCTTGGTGGAGGAGTTGTTTCTCGGTATAGTAAGAAGCAAGATCATCTTATCTAGTATGGAGTCTGAGTACATCACCTGTTCAACAGCAGCTCAAGTGGCAGTTTGGTTGAGGAGATTCATTCAACGATTAAGGATTGTGACCCACGTTGAAGACGCTGTTGAGATTTGATCCGATAACATGGCTGCAGTATCATTTGGAAGGGATCCTAAATATCATTGCAGGACCAAGCATATTGATATACGATTTCACTACATTCGAGACATGGTCAGACAAGGAAAGGTGGTTCTAAAGCATATCTCCACTATCAGAATGGTAGTTGATCCACTCACTAATATTGCTAAAGGTATCTTCTAAACTCACGTTAGAAGTTTGGGGATATGTAGGATTTGATTTGCTTTGGATAATATGATAGACATATGGATATTTATATTTCATGCATTTGCCATTTTATCTTCTACTTGTGGTTGCATGAATGATACTATTTTTACGATGCACATAATTGTAATAATGTCACCCGGTTGAGATCAGGCCACTCACACGAGTGATCACCTTGGCGCTAAGACAACGAGCCGTATGAGACAAAGTGATCATATTGGTGCTTGTATAATGAGCTTATGATGGCCTGTTGTGATCGTGCAGCAATTATGGTGAATAGTAAGGAATCAAACAATTAAGAAAGCAGGAGAAAATAACATACAGATATTTACGTGGTTCGGCAATGTGCCTACATCCACGAGAGCGAGCGACCGTTCTTTTCCATTATTGAAGCAGGGTTACATCTTAAGTATTTATATAACCCTAATATGGACGTATTTACAAAAATACCCATGTACCGTACCGCGGGGCGTTGCCCCCGCACCCCCAACTAATCAGCGTCCCCTATATATAAATCCCACAAGGCAGATGCCGTCGCGGTCTCCACCCGCTCCGGCATATGCCTCCTTGCCATTATGCACACAGCAAATATGAGCCACACATACTCTAACAACCTCCACCTTGGCAAATATTCACCCCTTAGAAGAAAAAAAAAAGGACATGTATTCGAGAACTCCACCGAGGACGCTGAGTTGAGGCATCTCCCATCTAGCAACTAGAAACATTAATCAAGTCCAAGCAGTGCTTGAACTTGTCTTTAGTAACAGGCTTTGTCAACATGTCTGCTGCATTCTCAGAAGTGTGAACTTTCTCAAGTAATAGTTCACCAGAAGAAACCAGTTCCCTGATCTTATGAAACCTCACATCTATATGTTTGGTCCTCGCATGATACACCTAGTTTTTTGCCAAATAAATGGCACTCTGACTGTCACAATGCAATTGAACTCCAGCTTGCTGGGCACCCAACTCCTTGACAAAACCTGTAAGCCACAAAGCCTCTTTGGCTGCCTCAGCTACTGCCATATACTCTGACTCAGTAGTAGATAGTGCAATTATAGGCTGTACCATGGACTTCCAACAAATATGTCCTCCCACAAGAGTAAACACATAACCTGTGGTAGACCTCCTGTCATCCAAGTCCCCTACATAGTCTGCATCCATATATCCCATAACTGAAGGGTCACTCTGTTGTCTGCTAAACCTGATGCCATAGTCTGTAGTGCCCCTCAAGTATCTGAAAATCCACTTGACTGCATCCCAATGCTGTCGACCCGGATTTGAAAGAAACTTGCTAACCACGCTGACAGCTTGTGCCAAATCTGGTCTTGTACAAACCATAGCATACATCAAACACCCCACTGCACTAGCATATAGGACCTTTGACATGTCATGAACTTCATCATCTGTCTTCGGGCACTGAGCGGTAGACAATCTGAAATGATTCGCCAAAGGTGTACTTACTGATTTTGCAAAACTCATGCTGAACCTGTCCAACACCTTCTCAACATAGCTATGCTGAGATAGCCATAATCTCTTGGAAGCTCTGTCCCTGCGAATCTCCATCCCAAGAATCTTCTTGGCCGCACCCAAATCCTTCATGTCAAATTCTCTACTCAACAAAGTCTTCAACTTGTTGACCTCACTCATACTCTTGGCAGTAATCAACATATCATCCACATAAAGTAACAGAAAAATAAATGAATCATCATGAAGCCTTTTTACATAGACACAACAATCATACTCACACCTTTTGTAGCCAATTCGGATCATGTAAGAGTCAAATCGTTTGTACCACTGCCTCGGAGACTGCTTCAGCCCATAAAGTGATTTCTTCAAATTACAGACCAAATGTTCCTCTCCAGGGAGACTGAACCCTTCTGGCTGTACCATGTAAATCCGTTCCTCCAAGTCGCTATGAAGGAAAGCTGTCTTTACATCCATCTGCTCCAACTGCATATCTGAATGTGCTACTAGTGCCAACACTGTCCTGATGGAAGTGTGTCTGACCACGGGGGAGAAGATCTCATCATAGTCAACCCCTTTTCTCTGTGAGTAACCCTTTGCTACTAGACGAGCCTTGGATTTTTCTCCCTCATTTTCTGATACTGCTTCTTTCTTCTTATACACCCATTTGCACCCTATTGCTCTCTTCCCCTCGGGAAGTTCCACCAACTCCCACGTCTGGTTCTTATGCAGAGACTCCATCTCCTCCACCATAGCACCCATCCATCTACTTTTCTCTTGGTTTTGTACTGCCTCCTGAAAAGTTGTAGGATCCCCGCTACTAGTAATAAGCGCATAAGAAACCAAATCTTCAAAACCATACCTGGTAGGTGGCTTGATATTGCGTTTGGGCCTGTCTGTGGCTATACTATGATGTTGTTGATCACCTGAGATAGAACGCTCTACATGCTGAGCATCCTCTTCTCTACCATGATTCTCTAGCTCCACCTGCACCACATGGTCATTAGTTCTACAGTTTTCTGGTACTTGTTTCTCTTCTTCCTGAGTACGCTGCAACATGGCTTTTTCATCAAAAACCACATCTCTACTGATCACCATCTTGTTTGCCTTCGAATCCCAGAGCTTTAAGCCTTTCACTCCTTTCTGATATCCCAGAAAGATACACTGTCTAGATTTCGCATCAAGCTTCGACCTCTCCTCACTAGAAACATGTACATAGGCTGGACATCTAAACACTCTCAAACTAGAGTAGTCTACCTCACTGCCTGTCCACACCTCCTTTGATACTTTCCCATCTAGTGCTGCCCTCGGTGATCTGTAAATCAAGAAACATGCCATATTCACTGCCTCTGCCCAGAAATTCTTTGCAAGCCCTGCATTCAACCTGAGATACCGAGCTTTCTCGGCTATCGTTCTGTTCATCCTTTCCGCTACACCATTTTGTTGTGGTGTCTTGCGGACTGTGAAGTGTCCATTAATCCCATGCTGCTCACACAACTCTTGGAACTTTGAATCTGTGTACTCAGTATCATTATCTGACCTGAGGCATTTAATCTTCCTCCCTGTCTGGTTCTCTACTTCAGCTTTCCACAGCTTGAACTTGGCAAACGCTTCTGACTTGTGCCGCATGAAGTACACCCAGACCTTTTGTGAGTAATCATCAATGAAACTCACGAAATACATGTATCCTCCCCGTGATAGTACGCTAACTGGTCCCCAAACATCTGTATGGACATAGTCGAGAACCCCCTTTGTCTTGTGTGTGGCTGTCTTGAACTGCACCCTATTCTGTTTTTCAAGAACACAATATTTGCAAAAATTGAGCTTGCATGTCTTGACACCCTTCAATAGATTTTTCTTATGAAGCTCTATCATCCCACGCTCACTCATATGACCCAGCCGCATATGCTACAAGACTGTATTATCTGATTCAGACTCTACAGCAGCAACTCCACCTACAATTGTAGTACCCAGCAGTCTGTAAATGTTTCCTACTACTTTCTGTCCCTTCATCACTGTCAGCATGCCTTTACTTACTTTCATTACTCCACTTATAGATTTGTAACTATAACCATTACAATCCAAAATGCCCAATGAAATCAAATTCTTCCTTAGATCCGGTACATGTCTAACATCACACAACGTTCTAACCATACCATCAAACATCTTAATTCTAATATTTTCTATTCCAACAACTTTGCAAGATGCATCATTACCCATCAGAACAGAACCAGAATTTACTGACCTGTAGGTGTCAAACCAATCTTTGTTGGGTGTCATGTGATAGGAACATGCTGAATCCATAATCAAAGAATCTGTTAAACGATCTGAACTAGATAAAACAGAAAGCATATCTCCGTCACCACTCTCTGAATCTTCTTCTTCCACTACGTTTGCAGACTTTGATGCACCCTCTTTGTTCTCTGAATCCCCTTTCTTTTTCTCTGGACAGTCCCGTTTAAAGTGTCCCTTTTTCCCGCACTTGTAACACGAGACAGAGACGTCCTTCTTCTTCTTCCTCAACTTGGACCGGGCTTTATTGTTACCCGATCCATTCTGAGATTTGCTTCTTCCACGTTCCTGGTTACCTTTCACCACAAGCCCTTCACCTTGTGAAGCCTCATCACTGGCTTTCTTCCGCTGATGAAAACCTAACAGAGCACCTGTGACATCCTCCAATTCGAGGGTTTCTTTCCCCCACATCAGAGTCGTAACCAAATTCTCGTACGTAGGAGACGCCAGTAGGGAATTCAGCAACATCAGCGCCTTGTCCTCGTCTTCGAACTTCACATCAACTCGCTTCAGATCGCTGATGATTTGATTGAACACGTTGATGTGTTGAGTCAAATCCGAGCCCTCTGACATCTTAAGACCATATAGTTTTTGCTTAAGATAGAGCTTGTTCGTCAACGACTTGGACATATACCGACTTTCCAGTTTCAACCAAACTTCCGCTGGTGATTTCTCATCCATGACGTGATACATCACTTCATCAGCCAGACAAAGCCTAATAGTCGCCACAGCCTTCGCTTCCAATTCTTTCCAATCCATGTCGTCCATTCCTGCCGGTTGTTTTCTGTATAATGCCTTCACCATGCCCTGCTGCACTAACAGGTCCTTCACCCTCCTCTGCCATAATCCGAAATTCCCAGTTCCGTCGAACTTCATGATATCGAATTTTGTAGAGGAAATCCCAGACATCGTACTCTAGCTTTGATACCAATTGTTGTGATCGTGCAGCAATTATGGTGAATAGTAAGGAATCAAACAATTACGAAAGCAGGAGAAAATAACACACAGATATTTACGTGGTTCGGCAATGTGTCTACATCCACGAGAGCGAGCGGCCGTTCCTTTCCATTATTGAAGTAGGGTTACATCTTAAGTATTTATATAACCCTAATATGGACGTATTTACAAAAATACCCCTGTACCGTACCGCGGGGGCGTTGCCTCCGCTCCGGCATCTGCCTCCTTGCCATTATGCACACAGCAAATATGAGCCACACATACTCTAACATGGCCTATATGTATATGAGTTACGTAATAGTCATTAATGATTGATAATGTTGTCGCCTCGGTTTTGGACGGAGATGAGACTTAAGTAAGTCGATTGTGGAATGCCTCCACAATTCCATATAAAACCTAAATAAAGCTGAATGTGAGCACTCAAGAAGCGTGTGGAGAGCGGCTGGCCGAGAGTAACTCAGGTTACATGCCTACGTGGCAACTAGACCCAAATTTTTACAATGTTTAAGAGTCACATGTCCCATTTAGTGGTAGCTCCGCCGTAGCATACACATCATACTGTATGTGCTATAGTCAACCAAATATTAGAGTGATAAGATTGATACCCTCTTTGTCACTGTGTGAGCTCTAAAATTCCCTATACCTTTAGACCCATAGCTATGTCATGAAGTCGAGGTTCGAAATAACTACTTTAGCATGTCACCATAGATACAGTCACATGGAACATGTCAAGGAAAGTGCACGACTCAAAATGGATTGATATGAGATTCTAGGGAAGGTACACGTAATTTGGTCGTTCATTGCCCGGACTATTATTGTGGTTAGTTGTGTAAAATAATCATGAACACAAATATGAAATGAGTTTAGTCAAGTGTTGCTCTAAGACGAGTCTCAAGAAGTATATATGATACTTGATTTGTGTGATTTAAGGTATCTAGGGTATAGGCGAGAATTCGTCAATGACGTGCTATGTTAGTTAGATAGTGGCTTAATATAGCACTCCTACTACATGTTTTTGGTCAGTTCGCACATTCCATTAGTTTTATGAGGACAATGAAATGTTTACAGGAGATTAAAAGAAAGTATGTATGAAAAATGGGATAACCTATGTTGATAAGTGGGAGATGTAATCTTGACCCAAGTTAAGAGACCGAGTTAACTCAGTGTCCTCAAGGTTATTAGAAACTTAATGGGTTTAGGCTTTTCTTCTTTATCATAATCTATTCTACTTATAAATGTCAACATCTATAAAAAAAAATTGATTTCCTATTTTACCCTTAATTATTACACTAAAGACAATTATGCCCACAAAATATTAGCTAGATAAACTATATCTCTGTGACTTCCAAATTTTTTGCTGGATAAACTTTATCACTAATATTCATATAAATGTCAGCATCTGCGAAAAACTTTTGATTTTATATTTCATCCCTAATTATTACACTAAAGACAATTATGCCCACAAAATATTTGGTAGATAAACTTTAGCTAGATAAACTTTATCTCTATAACTTCCATATTTTTTACTGGATAAACTTTATTACTAATATTCAAAATTTTTGCAAGATATTCCAAATTTTTTGAAAGATAAATTTTATCACTATATATTAGTTAGATAAAATTAACTAGATAAACTTTATCTTTATGACTTCCAAATTTTTTGCTGGATAAACTTTATTACAAATATTCTAAAATTTTTGCAAGGTAAATTTTATCACTATATATTAGTTAGATAAAATTTATCTCCACTATGATTTGTCATTACATTATTTTTTTCTACTCAATTCGATAAATTCAATTATAATTCTAATATGATGTGGAAAAAAATTGTTATTTTTTAAGATATAAACACAACCATCGAAAATTCATTATTCATTATTATATAATAAAAGATTAGAAAAGTAAAGAATTAAACCTGTATATTTTTCTTTCTTTCATACCTATTAGACTTCCAAAATATTTTGAACAACTTTATTTTTCTTATTTCACCCCTAATTATTACACTTAAGACAATTATGCTCACAAAATATTAGCGAGATAAACTTTATTTCTATGACTTCCAAATTTTTTGCTGGATAAACTTTATCACTAATATTCTAAATTTTTTGCTAGATAAATTTTATCACTATATATTATCTCTATGACTACCAAATTTTTTGGTAGATAAACTCTATCACTAATATTCCAAAATTTTTGCAAGATAAATTTTATCACTATATATTAGTTAGATAAAATTTATCTCCACTATGACTTGTTAGTACATTCTTTTTTATTCAATTCGATAAATTCAATTATAATTCTAATATGATGTGAAAAAGAATTGCTATTTTTTAGGATATAAACACAACCATCGAAAATTCATTATTCATTATTATATAATAAAATATTAGAAGAGTAAAAAGTTAAACCCATATATTTTTCTTTCTTTCATACCTATTAGACTTCAAAAATAATTTGAACAATTTTATTTTTCCTATTTCACCCCTAATTATTACACTCAAGACAATTATGCTCACAAAATTTTAGCTAGATAAACTTTATCTCTATAACTTCAAAATTTTTGCAGGATTAACTTTATCACTAATATTCCAAAATTTTTGCTAGATAAATTTTATTACTATATATTAGTTAGATAAAATTTATCTCTATGATTTTCAAAATTTTTACTAGATAAATTTTATCACTATGACTTGCCAGTACATTTTTCTTTTCCATTCAATTCGACAAATTCAACTAGAATTCTAATATGGTGTGAAAAAAAAATTGCTATTTTTTAGGTGATAAATACAACCATCGAAAATTCATTAGAAGAGTAAAGAGCTAAACTCATATATTTTTCTTTCTTTCATACTTATTAGACTTCAAAAATATTTTGAACAACTTTATTAGAAATATATATAAGTAGATATAGGAAGATATACATATATCTCTCCAGTAACTTCATTAACATTTTTGGTCTTATATCGTTGCAGGGTCGACGGTGCTTGATGTTGTCAATCTGTGAGCTTTTTTTTTTCTCTATCAGAACATACCTATTGTTGGTATGGTATATTCTTTACTTTGTTTTCCACCTATTTAGGTATGGCTATTGCATAAATGCTCTATTTACCTTACAACAATTTTTGTAATTGGTACAAAAATTAATTTGTGTTCAATTGAATTGGTGTTCCCATCAAATTGATAATGAACTCCGAAAAAAGGTATTTTTCATGGAATGAAGAGCTTAATCTATTAAACTAATCTCCTAATATTTAATTATTTATTATTAGTAGGCTTGTAGTGTTTTAGGAGTTATTATATTATAAGTAGAATTAGTTTTGTTACTAAACTTCTTGAATTCATGTGGTGGTTGAATAGTTTTAGATTAATAAATTATATTTAGGAATTTTCTTAGTCTTATGTTGCAATGCCATAAATTCTTATTAGATTCAAGAAGCCATTGAATGCATATATTAGTAATCTTTTACTTCGTCAACTTCATACACTTCACATTTCTAAAAAATATAATTAAAATTTTATGATCTAAATTTTTTCACGTCACGTGTGCATTACTAGTCTATCTATAAGTTGATATAACATTTATGTTTCGTTTGATACGATGAAAAAGTGGAAGGATGGAAAGTTAGAAAGATAAATAAATTATCATGTTTGGTAAGGATGAAAAAGTGAATGAATTAACTTTCCTTCTAACTAACCAAATCAATCCCTCTAAAATCAGAAGGAAAGTGGATGGAAAGTTTATTATTTGTGTTGAGATTTATCTTATTTATCTATATATTTTTTTATATATACATATATTATATATACATTAATTTCATATAAAAATACAATGGTAAAATATGTATATATATTAAAAAAAATTTTAAAAAAATAAAAAATAAAAATAAAAATAAAAATTGTATATTAAAAAAATATATTTTTTTCCATTTTAACTAAAGATGAAAATTTTTGACTCAACACGATGACACGACTCGAACTCGATACGATACAATTAGTTAAATGAGTTAAGTTAGGTTTCACTAATATTTAACACAAATATATAATGACTCAATACAAATCTGACACGACATGATTCGATTGTCACTCTTAATCTTAGCCAGCACCAAAAAAATAGTCATTTTTTTTTTCATCCATCCAACCAAATACAAAGGAAAGAAACTGTATCCTTCTTACATTCCATCCTTAAATGATAGAAAATGTATCTCTCCTACTTTTCATTCTCCCTACCAAACAGAACATTAATGAAAATTGGAATAGGATGTAAGTCCTCGTCAAACACTCTTCTATATGTAGAATGAGAGTTAGACAAAAAATATACAAGTAAAATTGGAAACTCTCTCCTAAAATTTCTCTCTGTAGGAATCACCATCCTTGTTTTTGTAAGTATGGATGCTAAGAGAACTCTGATAGCCCTCTTTTCAGCAAATTATCAAATTTCAACGCTCATCTCATCTGCACATGCAACTCCTACTTGCACATCCTAAATAGACAGTACAATCAGAACTAGTGATTTACTTCTTTGTTTTTTGAAAGGTGAAAAAAACATATAACTACAGATTTTCTATACCACGATTTGCATGGATACAGATTTTTATTCATGAGAGAATCATCATATCGAGAGGGGCGTGTGGGAGAAGAGTTAATTTTCACTCCTTATACTAACATAAAAGTCCATTAAACAGAAATAAGATGAAATTTTTTAATACTTTTTCTCCTATTTCATTATTATTATAAAGGCAGGACTACACACAATTAGAACACAGGGAAAAAAAAAGTTACATTATTTTCACATACAAGAATTAAGGATTTTTATTCAATAGAACAAGAATCATCATACGGAGGATAGGAGAAAATTTTCACCGTCATTTTGGCACGGAATCAACAAGAAGCGAGGTTACATAGGTTTTACACTTGGTTTTGGAATTTGTATACCCATATCCATCCTTGTAGAGAGGATTCATGAAGCATGCAAGATTGAGAACCCGCATTAGAAAAGGCATCGGGACAGCGGTTGGATGGAGGCATTCTTGGTTTATATCCTTCCATGCATTTGTAACTTGTTTGCCAAACTCAGCATACGCCTCTTGCTTTGAGGCACCGTGTTGTTTCATGTAACATTCCACAGCTAATGCTTCGTGTCCTCTCTCTTGCTCATGCTAAAAAATGTAGAGGAACCACAAAGTTTATTCAGCAGAAAAACAAGAATTAGTACAAAATAGTTAGCAAAAAAGAAGGTGTTTTTTTGGTAATGGAGAATTGTTTTAGGGCTGCAACACAAAATCGGTGCACAAAATGAATCACAAAATGCTCATATATATCAATTAAATCTGGGTTTTGTGCCAATAGGTGATTGGAACTTATGACAAGTAGGTTTTTGCAATAAGATATTTCAAACATCTCTTTCTTACCTCGTGTTCTGCCATGTCATGCATGAGTCTACAAATCACGTATGAAGCTCTAACAATCAAAGACCTCCTTGGTTGCCAGTTCTCCCATGCCAACAAAGGAAGTGGTGGAAAGCATCATGTAACCACAGGAAACAAGCGCCACCTCCATATACTCCTCCGTTGTTGGAACATAGCCTTCATTAAACCACTTGGCCTCTGGAAAGTATGCTCTAATTAATTTTTTCATCTGAAACATGGAAAGAAAAGAAAAGAAGAAGAAGACATATTGTTAGTTTGTCCATCAGTCTAAAAATAGGTTTTTTTTTATTTTTGCAAATTAGGTAATAACTGGGAAGTGTAAAAATACTTGCTGCTTCTTTAGCATAGTTGACGGAATATGTTTTGCCTTTCTCGGCCATCTCTTTCTCCATTTCACTATACACATCTAAGAGTGCACAATAACATAATCTCATACATTCTGGTAGTTGATCTAAAGCACTGATGTCCCACCTGTTACTCATGTAGTGCACATAAATAGAGTTACTAATTAGTTCCTATATGTCAATTACAACTCAAAAAATTCTTGAAAAAGAATGATAAGATCTAAAACTGAGAGTATTCTATTTGATTAAATTGGTTGAATTTGACATTTCGATTGCATCAGTGAAGAGCACAAGTTCTTCGAGGGTCCCACATACATCATAGATGTCATCCACAATGGAAGTCATGTAAATTACTTTGGTTAATATCTTTCGTGAAATGAAATATTGGGGCTCAAAGTACACTTCCAATATCCAAAAGTAGCACTCCACCAATCTGTCTCTTGCAAAAAGTAATTTTCTCGAAAAGTCTAAATCTTTCCACCACCTAAAACGTAAAAATAAAATAGAATCAATTGTATCAAATCCAAACTCTTCCTTAATCCATATGTTAATGGTGATGACAAGCCTCTGACTTTGTCAATGGACCAACCTTGTAATACCAATTAGCTCCTTCTGATGCACTTTCTGCAATAGGTTAAAATCCACTTTTTGCAAAGTTTAGTACTACTTGATTATGCAAATTGTCTTCTTGGTAAATAGACATGTAATGCCTCGACTCTAGCCTTGTTAAGCATTTGCGGATGGGCCATTGTAGAGCATGTTTTACTTGTTGAGCCAGAGGATTGGTCAAGTGGGGTAACAAGAACTTGAGGTTGGTGGTAGTAAATGCTAGTGCTTATTCTAGTATACCTTCTCCATGCACCCTGAGTTGTGTTGCTTCGTACAAGCTTAACAGTCCCTGAACGTTAGTGTTGAGGGATTCCTTGAATTTCCCTTCGTCATCCTTAAACTTCTTGAACACATCTGTTTTGACAATTGACATCAAAAAATGGTACAAATTGAACTAGTAAAATGACTTTGCATATCAGGGCGCATAAACATGCGCTGCACACATGCATGTTTATTAATTGCTACATATTATTTAGCCTAACAAAGAAACAAATTGGATACTTACCACAAGAGACATTTTGTCCTTGTTGTCTAAGCAATCGGAAACGAAGGGCTGAAGCGTAAAGGTCATCGTCATTGTGCGTGCAAGATCCTGCACAACATATAAAAAATATTGGGAACAGCTCTCTCCCCTGGTGAACTTTGAGTGAGCCGGTTGAGTGGTCGAACACGCCGCTTGAAACAGCCTGCGAGGTCCGGTGGATAAAAGGAACGGCAGAGGAAGATCCTGGGAAAGGAAGAACGATCCTGTATGTGTGAACGGTTTTCCTGGAACAAAGGAGAACAAGTTAGAAGGGCGCCGGAGTGTTTTCCGGCGTATCCCCTCCGACGGTCTAGTCAGTCTTTGAATGAGAGAGAGGAAGGAGAAAACACTGAGAAGGATATATTGTAGTAGAGAGTTTGTGATTGCCTACCTCCTTTGCCTTTTGGGAGGAGTATTTATACCTTAGAAGCTCATGATTGCTGTCAGTGTGGTCAGTAGGTGATCATCAGGCACAGGTAGCGTGTATATTGATTTGATGAGGAATGTCTTCTCTAATTGATTGCTCGGGGTCCCGAGCAATCAATGCTGAGCCGTTGGGACGCCGACGGTACAATATGCTCCTTTCGGGAAGGATGCAATAAATGCTCTGTAGTAGGAGCATTTATTGCCTTTCATATCCGAACCTTACCGCATTGAATGCGGTCTCGTCAACAGAAGGGTGCAATTAATTGTTTGCTTTCCCAAGTCGCGTGTCAGCAACGGCATGCGGTTTGTCTGCTTCTGATGTGACATTATTTGCCACGCGTCCATCCCCTATTGGCTGTGACGTCGGTATTCCAGCACGTTCTGACATTACTTGTGTTAGACGAGGTCATGATGAATAGTCTAGACTGGCATAGGCTGATGCCCCGTACGTCAGTAGCTTTACCCGGGAGTAGAGGAATCGTTCAGGATGGAGTGACCCTCGGCACCGAGGAAAGGCTCGCCTCGGGGACCGAGGGTGGTACGTTCCCGAGCTACACAGCGACCGAGGACACGTGTTATATAATGCACCCCGAATGTGTGATCCTTTAAGGGGTACCTCGGGGGAGAGGGACGCTCTTCGCCGATGGTGCTTACATCCGGGCAACACTGTTTCCAAAAACCCGAGGACACGTGTCTTCATCTTAGGGCTTTTCAGAAGAGTCCCATCAACTGCCCCCCAGCCTTCGATCTTCTGACACCGAGGACACGCGCTGTAAGGAGACGAAGGGTTTCCCAACTGCCATCCGTCCTTCATTATGGCCTCGAGCAGCTTTTCCCGGCTTGGGACGTCGTGCGCATTAAATGCGCTGTTTTGGTTCTCCCGCCCAATGATGACAATTTCCCCCCTATATAAAGGGGGTTCTTCTCTGGTTTCCATCGTTTTGCCATTCCGATCTCTGACCCAGAATACGCCTTTCCTGATCTGCTCGCCGGAGTTTTTGTTTCCTCAGCCATCGTCGACAGCGTTTTCTCTCAAAATCACAGCCAGTAAACCCATTGTTGACTCCTGGTCTTTCCGGTGCGAGTCATTTTAAAGTTTTTCCTGAAAAACTCCGTTTTCGACGTTTTCGGGTGAGTTTCACAACAACCTTCTTTATCGTCCTCCTAGCCTTTTTGTTTTCCGATTGAACGGTGGTGTCATCCGGTCGGTACGTCTTGATTTAAACCCTCGGGGAACTTCCTCAGGTTTTCAAGAGAGAACACCTTTTCCTTCCCTTTCTTTTAGAGATGCCTCGTCGTCGCCCTGCTCCCGAGAATCCATCGGCTGGTCCCTCGGGGTCAGGGAAATACAAGGTGACAGGCGAGGAGCAGATCGATAGGTTCAGGGTTAAGTATGGCATCCCCCCGAGCGTGGACGTAGTGGGCTTTAACCCTTTGTTGAACTCTCCTACCTTCGGGGCCGCGGATGCCATGCCTTTCTATACCAAGGCCATCATAGAGGGTGGAATTAGGTTTCCTTTACCCCCCCTGCTTCTTCAGTTCCTGTCTCGCTTCCGTCTCTTCCCCGGGCAATGCTGCCTCAACGTCTTTCGAATAATCATGGGGGTCCTAGAGCTCAATAGGCGCCTCGGGGTGAATATTGGGCTCAATGATCTCCTTTTCTGTTACTCCCTCCTAAGAGTCATGCCTCACCAACACTTCTACCTCAAAGCCAGGGACCCCTCCATGTACCTTGTAACCCATCTTCCTGATTCGGACAAGGGGTACAAGGACGACATCTTAATCTTCAAGGGATGTTGGGAGAGGGGTGTTGGTCCCGAGTACAATGACTTATTTTGCCCTCGGGAATGGAGAACGACAAGTACGTCGGTTCCTTCGGGTTCTTTATTTGTTTCTTGGGACTTCTCATGTTTATGACAATCTTTTTTGTTGTGCAGATATTCCTTCTCGGGAAACAGCTCCACCTCCTCGGTCGCTGGTCAACTTTGCCGACCTAGTAACGGTTTGGAGTTTCACGGGCGCCGACGGGTTTGGCCGAGCTGCTCATAATCTGCTGCACTATACCCCCGGGTACAAGAAGTTCTCACAGCTTCCTCAACCTTTCGAGCCTTCGCAGTGGTCAGAGCTCTTTGATCAGGCGGCGAGGCTAGAGGTCGAGCAGAACTTGGAGGAAGACCCGGATCGGGCTTCAGAGGGAGAGGTAGAGGGAGTTGCTGAGGAGGTCGGGGTCAGAGAGGACGTTGCTCCTTCGGACGCCGAGGTGGGGACTTCGGGAGGCGACTTGTGGCCCGACTTTCAAATTCTCCAATCTTTGGACGCCGAAGACGCTCTCGAGGAAGCGATGTCCAACGCCCCTCGCATTAATTTGGGGTTTCTTAGGCAGAGGCAAACCCTCGCAGCCGGGAGAGGTCGAGGGACGACCGGCGGTACTCCGGCAGGAACCAGTTCCGCCAATTCTTCGAGGGCTCCCGGTCAGGGTCAGGTGCGAGACCGGGATCCTCAGGTGGAAGAGGAGAGAAGGGTCAAGCATCGGCATGACGGCCTCAGCCGGGGACCCAGGGCACCTCCCGCTCAACATCAAAGCGGGAGGGATCGTGGATTACCGCCTGCTCCCCCACAACAGCAACAACAGCCCCGACCACAGCAACAGCAGCAGCAACAGCAACAACAGCAGCAGACTACTCCTTCCCTCCCATCCACAGTGGAGGCCGCGGTGTGGAATCCTCGAGCCACTGATCACATGAACCGAGTGATCAGGGTCGACGATTCCATTCTGCAGGATCCCCATGTCGCCCATGCAGTGAGTGAGACATTGCATTTTGAGGCTGACATGGAGGCTCATCGGGGGCGATCAACCAACGTGTTGTTCCGCTCCATGATCCAGAACTCCCTGGTGGTGAGTTTATTCCCGCTTTGATCCCTTTACTCTCGTTTTCCTTTTTTTGTGTTTTAACACTCTTTCCTTCCTTTACAGGCTACCCAGCAGATTTCTATCATTGCTGGCCGGTACCACGCGTCCAGGATGGACCTTCAGAGGGCCCGGGATCAGAAGGCGGAAGCGGAAGCTGCCCTTGCTCGGGCAACGGAAGATGTTGCTGCCAGGGATTCTACCCTGGTGGGGCAGGCTGCCCAAATAGAGCAGCTCCTCAAGGACGCTGAATCGGCCAAGTTGGGCGCTGAGAAGCTAAGTGCCGCACTTGCCGATGCTGAGAGGAGGATTACTGAGCAAACGCAGCGGCTCTCTGCTGCGGAGGAGAGGGCAGTGGGCTCCGAGGAAAGCTGTCTGGCCCTTACCCAGGAGCTAGACAGGATCAGGGCCGAGGAGCTGAACCGGAAGTCGGAGGAACAACTCCTGGAGGAGTTTGCCGATGACGTGCTCCCCGCTCTTGAAGAAAATAGCAAAGAGTTCTTCAAGAAAGGGTGGGACGAGGCGCTCCAGGCTGCTGGAGTCCCGTCAGACTCCCCTCTCTTCCAAGTGCACAAGTATGTGCCCTCGGCAGAGATGGCACAGGCAGAAGCACAGGTTGCTGCCGAGGATGAAGCCCCTACGCCGATGCAGACCTCGGCTGATGCTCCCGAGACGGTGATAGTGGACTTGTCCGAGGACGCTCCGTCGGACCTTGCTCCTGAACCTCAAGCTGCTCAAGCCTGTTCCTGCTGCCGAAGTTCTCTCTGCCTGCTCCAGAAGCTTCCCAACCATTTATCGCTGACTCGCCCTCGGCTGAAGTTCTGGAGGTGCCTGGAGCCCGATGAAGCTGCTTTTTTTTTTTTTTTTTACCCCTTCTGCTTTCCTTTTGTAGCCTTTGGGGACGCAAAGCCCCTATTTTTGGAAATAAATAACAAGTTTTTCTTTCCTTCTTCTGTGTATAGTAGTGTTTTGCTTTTCTTTACTTCTGTGTAGAATAAATCATAAGTGTCTTTGAACTGTCTTCGGGGCGTGCTGGCCCGTTCCAGAGGCAAGATCTTGTATCAACTCTGGGGACTGGAATGCTTGTGTTTCGCTCCCAGGACCATGTTCTTTATGGATGCTTGTTCCTGCATTGCTTCGGGGACAGAGTCCTTGAACTCTGTCCCCAGGGCCATACCCTTGCAGGAGGCTTGCTCCTGTATGTACTTCGGGGACGAGAGTCCTTGAACTCTGTCCCCAGGGCCATACCCTTGCAGGAGGCTTGCTCCTGTATGTACTTCGGGGACGAGAGTCCTTGAACTCTGTCCCCAGGGCCATACCCTTGCAGGAGGCTTGCTCCTGTATGTACTTCGGGGACGAGAGTCCTTGAACTCTGTCCCCAGGGCCATACCCTTGCAGGAGGCTTGCTCCTGTATGTACTTCGGGGACGAGAGTCCTTGAACTCTGTCCCCAGGGCCATACCCTTGCAGGAGGCTTGCTCCTGTATGTACTTCGGGG